GAAGAGGCTTGAACCGTCTTGAACGTCATACCTGCCGCATGACGCACTGGCAAAGTGTTGAAATGCTGCCATTTGAAATACATGCTCCTGGTTCGAATCGTGTTGGGGATTCGTTTCAAGCCAAGTTGAGATCAAACCTACAGTCCAAGATGGATGAGACAGTCTTTTGGAAGACAAGACCAATTCATTTCATTGCGAGAAATTCAACTACCAGTCAAGACATTAAATCAACGTGCCGAGAATGAATAAAGTTATCATTCAAGATCTACTCAGAGTCTTGGAGCATACTAATCGATAACATTATTATCAAGTTGGGCTAAAAATGATGTTCTTCAGTCAAGATACCCTTTTTATGATAGGCGAAAAACCAGCATCATTCAATTAAGATTAGAGGCGCGGTTGCAGAGGCTTTTGAAACTCCTACTAAAAATTATCTGATATCGACGACACCCAAAGTAAACTGGAGTTGTCTTCTAAATTCTTTCGAGGAGATAAATCTGAGAGTCTCTCCAAACGGTACTTCATCAAGAAATTATAAAGGCTAAATTGGTTCTAAAGTTGTGACATTTATAATAAAGAAACGGGCAAAGTTTATGATAAGTATTAAAATGCTAAATGCATCTTTATGGTTAAATTTCTATTGTTACAATTGTTTCTGACGAATAGTTGCTCGTGTAATGAAGTTATCCTGTTTCGATAAAATAAGAGGCTATTTTTATATCACACATTAAGTTATAGTGAAAATTAAAGAAAATCCTGCGAAATCATCATAATCAAGCGGTAAAGATAAGAAAAATGAAATATTCCAATTTCCACGAATAGGAAGCTTTTAGCAAAATATGTATTTCCCAATGCTAACAGAGACAATGACGACAATAGGGCTGGCCTGATCTACCTGCCTCCTGCTTGGCCGAATTGATGGCCTGTCCAAGTGCTTTGGCTTCGGCATACTGTACACGCAGAGCTGCTTTCTGGGCCTCGATCTTGGCACCTGCAGGTGTGCTAATGAAGTCCCGTTTAAACAAGTCGAAGGCTTCCTCGCGTCCATGAGACAGTTGACCAACTGTGTTCATTAGAGAGACCAAAAAAGGACAGGTTAGTGTGAATGTAAAGCAGTATGAAAGCACAGACTGGTAGATTAGTGGCATTTTTGTGCCGGTAACTTGATGACCTGTAAGGTGGACACATAAAATCAATCTGTAGGCTAAACCTTCTTGGAGTTAATATCTCTTTACTAGACTAGATCGTCGATTTAAATGCAATTTTGCTTGGTCAAATCAGCTTTGAGATAATTGAAATCACATTTCCGTTTGGTATGCCAGGAGGTAGAAGTTATGTTGGGAATCAATTGCAAAACCATGAAAATAGACTTAGGCAAGAAAGGACCTTTCGGATCTGTATGACGGTTTGATTGAAATTTTATCAAAGAATGCCTTTTTGTCAAAAGTATGCTCTTCAGGCAAAAGAGGTAAGTTCAGCATATATTTAGTAAAATCATAAAGAAAAATAGGATCACTACAAGGATCCATTTAAGTAAGAAGACATCAGATCCAAAGGCACAAAATTACAAATCCCTTCCCAAAAACTTCTCATGTGGCTCTTCTACATATTTAACTTATTTTTTTTTAAGGTTGATACCGAAAGTACCATGGAGGAATTGCTTCGATGGGCACTTTACTCGCAACTTTAAGAGTGTTAATGCAGTTCATGGAGCAAGATCATATTTTCAGAGGGTAAAGTACAATTTTTCGTATGTAAGTAAAGTTTCGAGATACATCTTATAGTAAAGCAGAATTACTGCAAGTAATAGTCGAAACTAGCACCAAGGCCCTGTTAAAAATTATAATTAATAAAATAAAAGGCTTATTACAGACCTAAAAAGCACGTGAAAAATGTTTTTCAGATTTGGCCAAAAAAAGCAGAATCGAATAAAACTATGGTTTGAAATCGTTTCGGACTGATTCATGCAAACTATAATGAAGAAATATGGTGTGTATGAAGATTGAATCGTTATACGCAAAACTCATGGAAGGGGGCGGTTGTACTTAAAAAAGCGACAAGGACTGCGAAGTAAATCAGTTTCAATCACATCTCTTCGTAGTGCAAGTGTGGGGCATGGGGCTATAGCACTGCTATGAAGAAAAGAAGTTCAGGGGTATGATACAGATTATGCGACTTTAGCTGAAGTTATTGTCTTCTTGCGTTATGTTGTAATTTCGAGTCAATAATATTGAGACTTACAGTGACAGTGTAAATGACCCGTAAATGAAGGAGAAAAGTATGCAAATTCTGAGTAAGCTACAAAGAACTCGTAATGAAGATTTAGCTAAAATGATGTCTTAGGGTAAATAAGAAAAATTTAGCCAGCTATGATAAGACTGGAGAAATAAAAAAAATTTTATTAAGCATAAAGCAAGCCTATCTACATTTCAAACTTGATAGCTACAAAGGTATGAATATCAAGATAGTGGTGCCTTTTGCATGAACGCATTATCCCTTAAATGTATAGAAATTGTTTGAACTTATTTTCGCGACTTAGTCAAATTGGTAGAAAGACCTACAGAAACGCACTCAGTCAGGAGTCCATAGTATGATCGCTAATTTCCAGAGCTGGACCGTGGATATGGTACCTTCTTAGACGTTTCGCCGGCATCGTAGTCTACATCGGCAATGAGCTTGGCTAGTCTTAGCACCACAATGCAACTCGTCAAAATAGACAAGTGAAGCCGATCCTTTGAACAATTGTCTGCTAAAGAATTGAGTTATCTCTGCTTCATCCCCGAGTTAGGCTATACACCAATACTATATTCTCGTATCAGCCCTCACCATCACAATTTCTTAAGTGATTATTTAAATGTGGAAATAAATATAATAGTCGATTGCTATAGCATATACAAGTGCTTTATTTATGATCCCACCACAGAATGTGGTATGGGAAAATGCCTGACTTTCCGTGAAATTCACTTCTACCCTGTCACACAAGGGT